TATGCTTCTGCTATCACCTTTTTATGTTTAGCTTTCAATTGAGATATGAACGATTTCACCCGGGATTCGGTAGGGAAGGTCGAGGCATCACGGTAGTCAGCAGAAGGATGTGCAGACAGGAACACTTTGAAAGCAGCCACAGACATAATATTGTATTTGCTTTGCTGCACAATATCTACCAAGGTGGTTCTAAACGGGTCTTGAATAACCCTGTGTATCATTTGGAGACTTCCATGCTTCTCGTGCTTGACCGTTAAGCTCGTGATGTGCTGACGAATTTCAATGACTTTACCACTTCAAATAATTTTTTGCAAACCCAATGCTAAAAGTGTGTGGAAAATGCTTTCTTTTTAGCAAATAAAAATGTCAAAAAAATTTCAGTTCCAATTAAGAAAAACCAGATTGGGTAGGGTTTTTTTTTCCAATAAAAATGTCCCCCAGTGGCTCATAAGGGGCCTGTTAATAATATATTTTTTAATATTTTGATTTTGTCTTCCTGTTGATACCTTATGTTGTATTTATATAATTAAGACATATTTAAACTGCAGAGATCTGTAATTCTCATTTTAGTAATTACTGTCACGTACAAATATCTTTTGAAATTGTTTAAATTTCATTTCTTGTTCAATATACTACATCTTTGTACTAATGTTACTTCACTAAACAGATCTCCAACTGAACATATGTATCACGCATCAACACTATATCCCTGACATACACATAGAAAAAGAACATCTTTTTGTACTTTGTCTTCTAGTTAAATACTTTAGCCAACAATAACAGCATCACTTGAACCAAAAACTGGTATCCAAGATTCTTCTGTACTTATGATGAATGCCTGATAGACCAGTTGGCAATATACTATCTGTATTTTTGGAATATACAAAGTATTGATTTTCTCTACCATAAAATCTTTAATGTTATGGATGTGATGTGTTTCACTTACTATTTGTTAGAACCATTTATTTCAGTAATCTTCAATTACAACAATCCAAGAGCGACACAATTATTTCCATTCTATGTAATGTATATAAATACTTATTAATTATAATTACCAAAATTAGTTAAAATTACCTCCTGTAATTTTTCATCTCTTCCAATACTTGGAAATAACCATAAGACTAAGGGGTAAGAAAACAATTTAAGAAACAAAACTTAAAAACAACAGTGATACTTACTTTGTAATCATCGCCATATTTTTCAAGCATATAGGTACAAAAAACAACTACATCTTTAGGTAACCTTAAACCTTTAGCCCTTGGTGCAGTTGCTTCTTTCTCTAGATCTGAAAAATAGTGGGAAATTCAAACTGTTTAAATATTAGACTCAAATATTCTGGATTATGGTCTTAATCTTAAACCGTTGTTGTTGTATGCTTTGGAAAATGCTTAGACTGATAACTTGTAGCCTGAAATAAACAACCTATTTTATCAGTTAGAAAACAATTTACCAATCATAACAAAGCAATCACAGCAGTAACATGAAGCAAGCTAAGTAATAAATAGTGTACAATGCTCACCAATCAATATTCAAATCCCGTTCAGGTGGTTAAAGTAGAGTTTGTAAAATCCTAGTATCAGTATACTGCATACATCTTAAAATCTGAGATTTTATTACTTGGCATTATTGTGAGGACTTTATGTGTTAAAAGAAAAAAACATTAACTGTCTGAAACCAAATTAAGTATGAATAAGTGGGCAATACAAAAATTTTTTTTAAATGTGATTTTTTAAAACTATTTTCAGAGTAGCCTGTTAACCCTCAATATGGGCTTGATCACTTTGACCAACCTTACATCCATAAAACTATAAATAAATTCTAATGCATTAAGTGTATCTTCACAAACATTTTCAAGCTTTTAGTAAATATCCCAGATATTTTTACACAGAAAATCAGATTTTAATTGAATATTTTTAGTAAACATCTGTTAATATATGGAGTCAGAGTTTGACTCAGACTCCAACTAGCCACAGTGCAAAGTAATTTTCATGTTAAGACTGAAAATAACCCCTAGAATCTCCTAAATGAATATCAAGTTTTTTCTCAGTAAAACGTCATATGTTATCTATTATCCTCTCTACCCTAACACTGTATACAGGCTTGATCCATCTGACCAACCTTGTAACCACCACAAGAAAATATGAAATAAACGTAAATTGATCTATTTTTTTTCCCACTTAGAATGACTGTATATTGTTACAGCCAAAGCTAATATAGTTCAAATCTCCTGGTCATTTAGATTCACTGCTACTTAGATTAAATTGCCAAAGCAAATTATTACAAGAGGGAAGTTGTGTAAACACAGCATTGATTTTCCAGAATGTGCTCATGCTATCAAATGCAAGTTAGTTACTTAAATCACAAAAATACATACATAAGAACAAGATATTTAGCACTTACATGTGGATCTTGTACTTTTTGCTCTCAAAGTCTTGATGAAAGTTAACCCTATTTCTTTTTTTTTGTAGAAGTATTATTGTAAATATGCAACTTATAACACAAAAAAAAATATTACACTTTAACTGGCTTCCTAATAGCTAAAACGTGTGTTAAAATAATTTCCTTACCTGATCAGGATGATCTTGTGAATAGCAAACAATGAAATTAACACAGAATAATTCAAAACTAATCCTGAAAATGAGTTAGCCTCATAAAGAAAGCAGTAAATTAAACTCTCCTTCTATTGGTTATAAATAATCCAGCAACAAATTGTCACCACATTAATGTTGTATATTGTTCTATAGTTAATAGTTCTTGATATACGTCAGATATTATACTTTTGGCATGCGACATTTAAAGACGGTTTATCCAAAATAAAACACACTGTATGAATGATGGTAGTTGATGTGCTTGAGCTCAGTAAGTGTGCTTCCAGAACATGTCAATGTTGGACAGTGTGTGTATGTCTAGTTATGTGTCCCCTGTGGTTGTAAAGTAGGTCATTCTTGTTACATGAGTGTTAAGCTTGATAGAAGCAAGTCTGATAAATGTTTGTATAATACTGTAGCATGTGGATTCACAACTAATAAATAAGCCATTAGTTTGATACCAGGTAACTTGTAGTATTTTCCAAGTAGTTCTTGTCATATGTCTTAATGACTAATATGCTTTTCATGACTATAAAAAGAAAATGCTTGGAAAACTGACCTATTTTTATCATTCAACTTTTCAATAAATAATAGGACACGAGTAATCAGAACATTTTGCCGTCACCCACTGTACTCCTTAAGATAGCACTGACCCTTAAAACTGTGCAAATTTACATGATAAGGAAACACTGTTAAACACTTCTTATAACCTTCAAGTTAAGATAAAACAGAAGTATGATATCGCAATCTCTGAAAGTACACTTTCAGTCATACATGTCATATGTATAATTAATGTGGTAGGAATAAAGAAATACGTAAAATGTTTTAACACCATAACTATTTAGGAATGATAAAAACGTGAAAAATTGATACACATTCTATTTGTGAACATTCTCATAGTTTGAATTAAAACTTTGCAAATTTTCTGCAATGTTAATGAGATATGAGCAATTAATTTTAATTATTGCCTTCGTTAGTGGTAATTAGACTCATAACAAGACAATTGGTAAAGATTTTTGAATTTAAAACAAATTCAAGCTACAGAAGAGTAATATCAACAAGTGTGCTAAATTTTAAGCCAGTATTGGCTTTAATAGTGAAGTTATCAAGCTATTAGCTTACATTTTTTTAACTTCCAAAATCTTTACCAAATGTCTTGTTATGAGTCTAATTACCACTAACAAAGATTAAAAATACTTTCATTAACCTGAAAATTTGAGAATTTTATGTAATCTCTCAAACCTCCTAAATAATTATAAAACATTATTTTTCAGTACAACTTTATAATTTTGTGTGATATTTCCTCTACCCTAACTCTGTATATAAGGTTGGTCAATTTGACCAAACTCAAAGCCACACACACACACAAATATTTCAAATTGTAACATGAAACTATATTTGTTTATACTTTAATTTTATTGCCCTTTGAACTAGATAATGTTCCCACCAAAAATTTTTAAATCAATTAGGGAACATGGAGCTCATGTTATTCTATCACATTACATAATGCACGAGCTACTTTCGAGCATACATCATGAAATTTTTTTATTATTATCCTACTTAATCTAACCTCAAAAAAGTTTAGTTTTTACGTTTTAGATACTTTTATAATAATAAATAAAAGATGCACATGATAAACAAGAAATATAGTACTTACCTGGGTCTTTTTTTTTTTTTCTTTTTGCTGTTAACTGTCAATGACACTTAAGCCTATTCTTTATATATAAGTAGAAAAATGCAAAGGTGATAAAATAAAATAAATTAGACTTTTAGAGAAAAAAATCATCTTTAAAGATTAAGGTAATAATTTATCAACTTGGCGATGTTTCGAGCAAATACTTTTCAAGCCAGAAACAAGCCTGTCAGTTAATGACAATCACAGGAAT